TGGAATTTTACAAAGGAATACTCGTCTGAAGTTCATTAGGTCCGCTATCCCCGTTCGTCGCCTGTTCCCGGTCAGCAAACGTGCTCCTTTGTCAGAACGCCAACGGGCGTGATCTAACCGCGATAAATGTCGCACTGCAATCATGAATTCTCCTGTCCGGCCTCCCTATACGTAAAGGTGACAGCTCGATGCCAAGAGAGTTGGGGAGCGGAGAGAGGGGAGGGGCAAGCGGCGGCGCCGTCTTTTCTTGTTTCAAGGGATTTTCGTTGCATTTAACAGAAGCCGCGTGGTCCTCCCAACCAGGGTCAACCGTCCGTTCGAACTGTTCGAACGAAGGGGTCGCATTTTGGTTGGAAGGGGGTCGCAATTTCGCCGACTGCCAGCCACAGGCGCGTGCGTGGCGTATCCGAGGGCAAGAATTGTTCGTGCAGACCGCATTAGATTCGATCAATTATGCACAGAGAGACAGTTCAAGCCAAACTGTTTTCCTTGAGGAATAAACAACAGATGAATGCATCATTATGAAAGGTTTGACTTTTCGGGGCTGAAATTAAAGATTTTCGGGGACCTAATTTTCTGGGGACGATTCTTCCAGAAAACGGTATAACATATAAGAAAGCAGAAATCAAGTAGTCTTCAAAAATACTTCATCCCTTCCCAAGAAGCTTTTTGAACGAAGTTATTATTGCTAAAAGCTCAAAAACTTGCATGTGCTGCTCAAAAACCTATGGGGACAAAATGTTCGAATGTGCGATTTTCTCGAAAAATGAACTTTGGAAAACGGTTTGGGGCTTGTTAGAGAGAGCAAATCCTGTACTTTCACAACATGAAAAAAGTGCATGTCAAAAGTGAAAATGTAATGAGTTATGGTCGCTGTAAGCCCAAAAACCCGCGATTTCAAAAAAAGTGTTCGGCAAAATTCACCAAAATGTTCGAACGTGTGATTCTCTCGAAAAATAAACTTTGGAAAACGGTTAGTGGCTTGTTGGATAGAGCAAGTCCTGTACTTTCACAACATGAAAAAAGTGCATCTCAGAAGTGAAAATGAAGTGAGTTATGCCCGCTTAAAGCCCAAAAACTCGCTTTTGCACGAAAAATGTTCGAACGTGAAAGTTTTTTGAAAAAGGGCACAATCACTAAACTTTTAATACTGTTTTGTTAGAGAAATATTTGAAGTTTCTAAAACTTTTTACAGATTTCCAAAATGTCGCATGCGAAAGAATTTATGGGTCTTCAAAGTTGAAGGTGCGCCTTCTTAGAATTTTGGGTTTTTTACTTCTAACAGAAGTACTTTCCGGATAGTTAGGCAATCCTTGTGACTTTCTGAAAGCGCACCTCAGGCACGATCAAAACCTACCACAACAAGTCAAAAAAATACGTCCCAAGAAAGTTATTCCCCTCTGAAATTTTTTCTTCGCCGCGTCCCGTTCTTCCAGCGCCCGGGTGATGCCTTCCGCGCTCCAAGGCTGACGCCGCAACGCAGGCGCTTTCTGACGCAACGGATTTATGTCTAGCACTCTTATTAACAAAAACAGGGGCCGCAACTGGACCCCATCGAGAGCTAGGGGGTCGCGAAAATCCCGAAAATATTCGAACGTGACGGTTGACCCTGCTCCCAACTCGCTCAGCACCGACAGCTCTGAACCACAGGCCCCTTTCTTGGAATAGACCCTGCAATTGTCTTTATATGAATTTCAGGCCTGTTTCAGTAAGGGGGGGGGGCAATGTAGTACACAGTCAGCTCTAATCCAAAGATCTCGGAATTCACCCAGGTCTTTGAATTACGAACTCTTACATTCCTACGTATCTTCTGGTTTTATATAATGTTAGAGTTCTTGTGTTTTATGACATAATTACCTAGAAAAAGTTATAGTTACCTAGTGATTGGCTGAGTAACCATTACTTTTCATAGGTAATTAATGGCAATTATTTCGCAGGATCAAGCATAGAAAGGGAGAGAAAGTCCCCGAAAAAAAAGAAGATGTTCATGAACCCTAGGGTTTTCCCTCTCTTCTAAAGATTAATCCTTAATCTTAACATCAGGCGCATAAGCTAAAATGCTACGAAAATACTAGATTTCGATAAAAATTTATGCATCAGTTGTCTACACAGACGTATTTCATATAGGGTAGGGGGTCCTATCAAACCCCCAATGGAGGCGGGGGGGGGTATCGTAAAAATTTCCAAAAAGAAACCGACCGTAGGGTTGACCCTGCTATCGGTAAGTTTTTATGGGGAGACTTCGTGCGTACTTCGAATTTCTTTTTGAGCGTATGTTTTCAAGCACGTGCACTATCTAATCGTGTTCGGTAAACAAGAACCGAGACCACTGGTTCGAAAATGACGCGACTGTTGATATCGAAGCTTTGATAATTTTATTGAGTTTTAAGAACAGTTGTTGGAGTTTCTCCAAGGGTCTCTCCTGCTGCACACATCAGACTGCACTGAATTCATACCTGTAACGAGGGCGATGTTTCTAGTGGTTAACTCGAGAACGTTCTAAAAAGCGAAGCATGCCTTGTGGTGGATTTCACACATCACCCACTTCTGTCTGATCTAGCAACAGAAGCTTTTGGTTGTGGTTGTTATACAACTTGTACTTCTCAGCTGCAGTAGCGGCTTTGATCACCCACTGCATATGGATGGAGTAGGAAAGCTATTATTGACGGAACCCGTGTCGCACTCCTATCATCAGTGATAAGTCTATGCGGAAATCTTTGACAAAGCTTCAATCTTTTTCGAGGGAGCGAGAATCTATATGAACTGTGCCTCTGAAAAGTCAGGGTGTAGTGGCCATATAGCAGGATCCCATGTGTTTTGGCTTTGAAGGGAGGGCGCAGCCTGTCCGAATTCGACAACGATGGTCTCCCTGAACCAGGGTCCTTCTCCCGGCTGTATCTCCTGAGCAAAGAAGATTCATTCATTGTGATATTTCATAGCCGGCCACACTAGGGAGATCAAATGTAGTGCTTCCAGCTTCGATGGGTTTGTGGCTTAGTAGCAGTTTCAGAGTCCCAGCGTGGAAAAGAGGCCCTTTTTTAATTCCCTTTAAACTGAAGGGGTCTAAGGTGGGCAAGGTTCGGTTATAAGTTACGTTTCACGTTCTGCCCTCTCCCAGCTTACTTGAACAGAATCTGCTGAAGAAGTTTGCGGCATGAGATCCAAAAAATGCGCACGGAATTTCGAGAAAACCTAGTAGTTCTCGACTAGCGATGAGCAGCTCAAGGAGGGAGCAGCCCACTGAGGAACGCTAGTCTCTCACCATGAAGGCTTTTGATTGCACCATTTGCGTTTACCTTGAAGAGAGACCATAAAGTGAGTGTGCAACGTGGAAGTACTTGCATCAGTGGAAACAGTAGTCAGGGGCCAAAATAAGCGAAATGTGGCGTTCTTGTGATCAAAGATGTGCTAGCTGCAGGCACCGGGCTTGCCGTTCCTTTCTGGGCTCCGCCATCGCCTGTGCTCCAGCAGCAGCGTACTTCCATTATCATTTTGATGAGGCATTCAACTTTGACTGTGTGTCCTATAACTTTCCCATGAAACGCGTTACCAATTAAAGCATGGCCTTTGCTTGTATGGTGGTGACCATTGCCTATGTGCAAAAGACCTCTTATTCCTTTGCTAGTGGAGGTTAACGGACAGAGAAAGGGGTCCTATTTTGCGCATTTTCGACGGGTTTCTTGGTTTTTTCTCTACAGGGACATCACTCAGCATCCTACTTCCATCAAAATTCCAGTCCAATCTCAATCAATCGTAATCCCTCACTTTAAGAGGCCACATTTTTGAAACACGGGAAGGATTCTGAACTGGTACTGCTATGCGAATGACGCGACTGGCTCCGTACTAGCTGAACAAAATTGGGCTCGTAATAGAAACTATTCTTATCTGATCTTTTGTTGTTTTTGTTGTTCTTCTAATCTTAGTGGGCTATTTGAATGCTGTCGCTAGTGATGACGAGGGGGAACACTAATAAGCTGATGACCTAGTAGAGCCTATCGAACAGAAAGCTAGTCTACAGCTATGAGGTGATATGCAGTGTATGATGCAGGTCCGTGGTGCAAGTATCACAGCTAACCATAAGTTCCCAAGAGAATGTGAGTACCTGAAGGGTAGCCCACGTACTGTGATAGTGCATATTATGTTCACACCCCTGTAAATTCTACTCTTGGAGTTCGCACGTGTTAGAGAGATGAGAGACTGCGAAAACGCTAATCTGAATTTGCAGATGTAGTCATGTTTCATTTAGTAAGAAAAAGCATCCGCCAGCAAAGATTAGCCAAGGGTATGCAATCACACCTACGTGCTTACAACTGTGGCCGTGATATCATAATCAATTCGAGTGGCTTCTCCGGTTTCTTCAGATCTCCCTTTTTCAAGACGAAAGTATACAGCAGCTCTCCTATATTCAGGCGTTCCATATCCACTTGACTCAACTGAATTACCAATTACCTCTTGATACTCGAAGTCTCCAATGACTGTTGTTGATTATTCTTGTAACGCGCAGTTCCGCCTCTATTTAAACTGCTACTAATTCAACTTTTTCTTGTGCATAAACTGAAGCCAAGGCATTGCCATCACTTTCCGTCATTCCAATTTCTTAATCTTAGATAATCGCAAGAGCTTGCGTCACAAAGGGAGACAATCCTCATTGTAAAAAAGGAGCTGATATGCAGGACTTGTTTGAAGACTGAGTCCTTACTGGAAACTTTTTTGGGGTACTATTATAAAATGCCTCAGGGGCAGAAGGGTCGCAAGTGGAAAGATCCAAATAATCAGAATAACAGATATAATAATAATATGTGAGTGGACTAGTTCTGAGACTCGGGTCCCCTCACACTTGTGGGTGGGAACTATCCTGGAATTTCAACTTTGCATTGACTTTGAATTATCCTCTGATATGACACTTATTTTTTCTTTAATAACCCCTCAAAACAACACTATGAATAAAGCTCTTTTAGTGCATCTCCAAAGGGAATGTGACTTTTGACTGACTTTTCCAGGATACGCCATTGACATTCTTACCATGCACTCATAGCGTTTTGAAGGACAGTGGTACAGTGAATGATGACTACGGCTGTCACTTCGTCACCGGTCATGATTCACTGAGATCTAATGCGACGCATAATGTGAAGCGTGGCGCCTTAGTTAAAGAATAAAAGGATAAAGCATTTGCCGTTGATCAATCCCTTTTTGGGATGCGGCACGCACTCTACTTCCATTTGTAATTCGTAGTGGCGTTTGAATCGATGTGGCCCATAAAATGACTTGCGGCGGCCAACCGATGTACAAGTCAGTGTTTTTATCCAAGACAACTCTGGTACCAATTATCCGACCCCGGAGGGATGGAAGGCTTAGTTAGCCCGGGCGAATCACGACCCAGGATTTGATCACCGGACCGCTCGCGTGGTAAGCGTGCCACTTGCCTCAACACCACTTCCGTCCTAGTTACCCTAGTTACTATGCTTAGTTACTATGCTAAATACGACTTAGTTACTATGCCAAATACGCAAGCAATATTTGTGTTGACATTAGGGTGTCCTACAAGATTCGAGAAAAGTATGCTCCCTATTTAACACGTTGACGACATCGCATGTTTGGCATTTTGCACCTCGTGGGACAGGAGCGATTTTGCGACCGCGCCGTCCTCACCTTACTTACGCTTATTTTTTGTTGAAAATGCACAATAACTTGAAGTTCATAGAACTATTTCGGAAAGGACGATCGCACAAAGGTTAAGGATATAAGTAGCAAAAGGTTTTCGTTTAGAAGAGCGCATAATAACCACGAAGAAGTAAAAAAACATCACTTTCGCTGCGAATGAAATTAAAAGCATTTATATCTAAGTACTCCCATCAAATCAAATATATTGAAACTCACAGGGTTGTGTTTCAACTAACTCTAAAATCTTTCATAAGAATAGTGACGGCAGTGAAAGTATTATTAAGAAAGAATCGGAACGAAAGTTTTGTGCGTTCGGAAAATCTTTGCTTAATCAAAAAATTCTTGACCACTCTAGCTGCCAAGCGGTTTATAGTCATGCTAATGTATTATCTATAGAGTGAATACAAGAAACCCGAGAGAAAGGAGCGCAAGCACGGTAAAAGTGAGTAGCATAGACTTGACGCGCTTGCGCGTCAGAATGTCCGATGCGGTGCGAAATTCTTGACGCGCATGCGCGTCAGCTTGTCGTCAATGTGTTAAAAGCGTGTAACTGCAGATGCGTTAAAGCAACAATCCAGGAACGAATTCGCGTGTAAGGACCACCTATAATGACGTTGCAGGTGAGAAGTTGGTCAATGGAGAAAGAAAAAGTAGAAAAAACGTCGGGCAGGAGCTTAGCAGGCCCTGCCGTTTAGGGAGATGTGTGTTGGACGAGTTGTCCGAACCTGCCCGTAGTACATGCGCTCCAATTGCAACGCTGGCAAATAGCCATGCATGCTTGCAAACACTATTTGCCAGCAATCGAAATTGAAGCGCTTCAATTGCGTTCTTATGGAATCGACCTCATACAGCGCGGCGGTCTCGCAACGACCGCTAGTCAAGCACGGACTCTGCACAGCGTATGTTGGGCGATCCGCCTCGGTATGGGTGATCCGCCCCCTCCAGGACGACTTCGACCCCTTCCAGCGCATTTTAGAGGTAGGTTTTGAACTTAAAGACATTTCCTATAAACTTTAGTTGGGCTGGAGCATGTTTTGACCGCCTAATGACCAAGTAGTTGAAACCCTGCCTGGACTGTTGCTTTAATGCTGATCCATAATGCAAATGGTAGATTATAAGGTACCGTCAGTCTGAAGCTTATCGGTGCGCCTCGTCGAAGCTCTCCGGTGAAAAGCGCTCCTTCTTCCAATACCAAAGACAAGTTTGGCCTCCTCACAAAACAGTTCTTCCAACACCGAATACAAGTTTGACCTCCTCACAAAACAATCATGTTTAAAGTTCTGAGAGAAAGGAAGAACAGCGTCCATTCCTTTTTTTCCTCGTTTTTTCCTTTCCTTCCTCGTTTCCTTCCACCAGGCATTGAATTTTCACAAGAAATCCGCGTCTATGCGGCATTCTCTTGAGTTTGGAATCAATCACTGATTGCACTGGCTACTGGGACAACCTTCCAATTTTCCTAAAATTTGGCAAGCGTCTCTTCCAAAATCCTAGCTTTTTTTTCTGCCAAAGGCTTCCCTGCCTTCTTTCATAGTATTTCGGTGACACCAAGGACATGTCACTGAATTGTCGCTCCGTTAGAAGCATGCCATGCTGGCGAAACCACTCCTTCACAGAGGAGGTGCGATGCTTTCGGTTGCCCCATGGCTAGAAGACGCACACGTTAGCGTGCAATTGCCTTACGCGTGGATACCCAACACCTTCTGGAACCGTCTGCCTTTTCCATTTCACGAGTCCTCTACAGCGGTACAGATTTTTCTACGACTAACCATAACCGAGTCTCGTCCTTGTTATAAGGATCGATATCTTGGATCGAAACGTTGTCCGTCAGGAAAAGTTCGTCGTCCGATAACACAAGTTATGCGACTAGGTGAAGGGGCGTATACTGCTAGAAGGTGTTGCTAGCGAAGCTACATATCTGGCAATTGTACGGTATTACTTTCCCTTCTAGCAATAGAACGACCGAAACTATTGCGCCTCTCCTGTGAAGGAGTGGTTTATCCAGCATGGTGTGCTTTTAACGTAGGAACCAATTCAGTCGCATGTCTTGAGCGTCGTCGAAACACTATGAAAGAAAGTAGAAAAATCTTCGGCTTGAAAACTAGCCAGGAATATGGAAGAGAAACTCTTTAAAGGTGAGGAATAATTGAGGAGGTCGTCCAAATAGTGCATCCATTGACTGATTCCACGTTCAGGCCCTGTTGAAATTTCAGCAACTACAGAAGGTCACCAGTGATAATTGAATGAGCGTTTTCTATGATGCGTTCGATTCTTTTGTTGAATTTTGAGATTTTTACAATAATTGTTTAGTTGAATTTTTAGCTCTTTACAATAATTTGAAATTTGCTTTGAATTTGGTCGTACTCGAGAATTTCCTGTGAAGTGATTTCTATCTAAACTCTTTCTCCTACCCAATTTCTAATACTTTTGTTCAGTAAGGAAGGTTTGCCTGTGAAACATATCAAAGTTGTACAGATTTGATTCAGTAAAAAAAGTTGCAGTCGAAAAAGTATCCCACCGAAGACTTCGGAGCGTTAGCGTATATTACGTTTACTTGAATTTGTTTTTTCTGCTCGATGGTCCAGCACTACATCGACTAATCTAAACCCGAAATTATCTACAGCCAAGGCGTTCAAAAGTAGTTGGTGTTGAGGACAAGTCGTGACTAGGTTCGAAATGTATACCCGATTGATTTTATCATCATCTCGAAGAATTCTTCAGAAGTAATATTTTTATTCTCGTGCTGACAGCGGGAACGCCTGCACCGGGTTCACGGACTGCCACCACAAACTCTTTTTGACCCTCTGACTTATTCTAACATCTCCCTCTTCTACTGTATCTTACTCTGTTGATCGTTTTGTCATTCTTCCTCAAAAGCGCACGCTCTTAGCCGATTCTTCTAATGCGGCACCTCATAATGGTGGCTCCAAAGCGCATTTCTCTCCAAGCGCTTCCTTGTTTCCGCCCAACCTACCCTCTACCGTCCCTAGAGTATGGTTTTCGTACCTTCGTTTCTCTTCAAAAACCTTTGTATGTTCCCTCTGCTGATCACAACTGATATATTCATACTGGACAGAAAGCAAGAACATAACAAGAAACAAGGCTTAATTGAAACTGATTTTTTATGGCACGACGTAAACGAGGGATATTGGTAGAAAGTTTCCTTTCTGGAAAAACCAACGACACTACTGGCAGGACAACCTATATTGTGTGTTCATCAAGCCAATGCGGAGCTTTCTGTTCCGCCTTGAGTAGCGAATTTCTTCATGTCATTTTATAAAGGTTTTCCAGAGACCTCTTGCTGTCTCTCAAACTCACGTTCCCTTCGAGCGAAACACCAGCTGAAGGGCATAGCATTGTTAGAACGCATCAGAAACGCGCCCTGTGCTCGACATCCCGCGGAATTCACAGAATCGTAGCGCTTCCACTCCTCATCCAGGCAGGCTATCGATGCTTTTTTGACTACCACTCCTGCCACTTACAACTCCCAGTCTCCCACTAGACCAAGTACTCCCTCATCTTTTTCTCACAATCTAATCATAAAGTTCATGTAACTACATTACGTACGTTGGTCGTTAACAGCGCCCCTACCTCTGTCGATTAACACATTGCGTACCAGGCCGTTTTTGCGCTGGCGAGCTCGCCTGGCCGCGCGTGCATGCGCATCGTGCGCCACATGGTGGCGCATGCGGCCACACGGCGCAGACATTTTTGGAAATCCTTTTCAGAGGGTGCTTTTTCACTTTGTTTCCTTATTATCTGGGTAAATCACAATTTTATGAGAAGTGCGTCATAATTTTTGCCTGCTTGACTTGTGATAAACATTCCAAATAGCTATCGAATGATCATGTAACAGCGATGGTGAGGGATCAAAAATCTGCTTGGACCAAGTTCTTATAAAAAATAGCGATGGCAACAGGTTCGTTCCTTCACCCCACAATCTATTTAAGCATGTTTATTGACCAGCAGTGACGTTTATTCAATTTACAGGATATTCGTAGACGCATTTCACCCTTCACTAGACCTTGGATTAAGGTGGGTATATTACACCCACAATTTGCCCTACATTTATCATCGATTTTGATACCAGGGTAGAGTGAGCACGAGTAGGTTTTCAAATAGAGGTTACTCTGAGTGCCTAATGCCACAAGACTTGAAAAGTATACAGCTGAAAGGCATGTGAGGTGGAGGAAGCGCTCCGAAAGCACTTACGCTGATGTTTTGTTGGCACATCACTTTATTCACGCTAAGATTTCGGCTGAAACAGATTATTGCGACTCAGTTGTATTACAGCAAGATTGCGGTGACTGCTGAATTTGCTTCAAAGAATGTGTTTTATTCGAGCAAACTTAATTGGCAACCAGCCTTTTATTAGAATGTCACGTACAAGTAGTAACTTATTGGCTGGAAACGTCCCAGTCAAGTACGTTGTTCTCCTGGTGAGATGACATATGCCTGCACAAACATGGAATAAACGACTACAGCAACTGTGAAGAAAATCGATTCAGAAATCGTGCGCCACCATGTGGCGCACGCGGCCGTACAGAGCAGGAAAGCCGTGCGCCGCCATGTGGCGCACGCGGTACGCAATGTGTTAATATTGGCGTCTTCTCAAAGTCTCATGGGTAACCCAAACAATTCCTCGAACGAAGCACTTTTCCACCTCTTTCTGCCGCAAAATTGGCCATCTTCATCAGATGTGGGCTCCTATTGGAAACCACGAAAGGGGTTCATGGAGCTGAAGAGATGAGACACTTCTTCGTATTAGAAAAAAAAACACAACTTTTGTTCCTTGTGCGTCCAGCTGGTGAACCAAGAACAACAAGGAATATAACAATAGTATTTTCTGTTGAGCGCATTAATTTTGATGAGGGTATAACTCTTCGAACTCGAGTCTTGTTCTCTCATAATGTGATGTCCATTTCTGTTGACTAATGGAATTCTATTTCCTTTTTACGTTCCAGATCATGAACAAATTAGGAATGGGATTCTTGTTGCCTTTATTAGCTGTGTATGGACAACGATTCAGAAGACAAACACTGCCGTCTCAACATGTACAGGTCTGTTTTCCATAGTATGTTCTTGGATTAGCAAAGACTGGCATCTCTTTCAGTGTGTTGTTTGGGCAATCGCGATAGCGGCCTTATTAATGCCATAGGAAGGGGGGGGGGGAAGGTGATCACAGGAATCACGTCTTCATGGTTCCATAGAGAACTTCAGTGCAATATATCTCGAGTTTCGCAAAAATCACAAAATATCGGAAATACCGCGTTAAGTTTAGATTGCAAAAAAAATCAAAAAAAAACTACGCGGAATACGAGGAAAGTTCTTCTGTGAACTGCCATACTTTTGGTAGATGGGAACTAGTAAGTTGTTTCTCGCTGTGTCGTCACCCAAAAATCTACTAAACGTCGTTCGATTTCTTGCAGAGATGGAGGGCGTCCTCACCAGGGTCAAGCGAAGCGTCGAGGAAAATTTTGAAATACGACCCCCCCACCCCCCCCTCCTCTGCCGAAGACGAAGAGTCCATGAAACAACCCTCTCAATTAGCGGAGTAATGAAAAAGTTGTTTAATTCTCCACCAAAATGCTCATAAAAAGCCCTGCTACCCATCGTCCACAAAAAAATCGTTCAAAAAGTATAAATGTGCAAAAAGTCAAAGAATGATCATCAATGAGAGTCTGTCAACGGGAAACGAGAAACGAGCAAAAACGTCAAACTAGTCACTAGAATGGCGTACTACGACAAAATTCTCTTCTTTGTTTATTTGCCTCCACAAGACTTACCAAAGTTCTAGTTACTACACAGATTATGTTTCTCAAATTTATCATCCTCTCTTTCGCTCAAGAAGGAGCTTGTAAACAGCCTTCGCCAGCTGAGTGTTGACTGGCTTATGTGCGGTGACATGGAGCAGCCTGTTACTATTGAAATTTGAACACATTATTAAATGAAGTATAAATTTCTTCAAAGTAACGAATTTTTAACCTGAACAGCTGATTGTGAACTTCCATAGTCACCACATTACGTTACTGAGTATATTGATGCTAGATTTGTAAAGCCGCTTCCTTCTGATGAGTTTCAATGATGAGTCACGAATCAGGAGGCCGAACGAGCGTGGGGCACACCAAGGCAGGGAAATCAGTTGCAAGCGCATGCTACAAAGCATTCTCGAAACTCCCTATAGTCAGCACGATGTCTTTTCCTGGACGGTGCGGCCAGTGAAACCTAAAAAAAAAACCGTTTCTTAAGAGAATGGCTCGGAGAATGCCCTCAGAGAATGTAGCAACGGGACTAATTTTGAATTACTCTTATTTAAGGAAACGTTTGGGTACTTTTTGAAAATGAATACTGTAGTTTCTCATACCGGTTCAGCTTCCAAATAAATGACTTTTGAAGGAAGTTTATGGTCGGTTGAAGGTTGAAAAGTCGCGGTTCAGAAAAATAAGTCCGCGAACACCCTAAAAGTAGCAACGGGACTAATTTTTGAATTAACTTTTTTTCAAAAACGTTCGGGACATTTAGAAAGCTTGAATTCTGTAGTTTCTCATACCGGTCAGCTTCCAAATAATGAGTTTGAAGGAATTATTATCGTTAAATGTGAAAAGTCGCATTTGCACAGAAAAAGTTCAACGTGCTAAATGATTTACTAAATATAGTTGTCCTCATACTTGATGTCGTTTTTTTTTCAACCAAAAAATTTCATCTATAATATGAACTTTTACATCGGTTCTCATATCGTTCAAGAGAATTGTCTGCTCAACAAAAGCCTGGTTCCTTCACCGCTATTTCAGAGTTTTCCGAATTCAGAGCAGAAATGGAGAGGTCTCGCCGGCAAAAATTGACCAAAACGACAAACTCGCTGTTAATATTATTTTCCTGAGAGAATCACCAGTGATATATACCCTATACTTACACCTGACTCTTCAAACGATCCACTCTTATTGCGTCCAAAACTTATGCCGTTTTTCTTTCGACATTGGCTGACGGAATAAGCATAGCAATATTCAATTTAAATTGTTTCCTCGCTAAACTCATTTTTCATATCCGAGTGTGTTCCATTTACGAGCACTTCTTCTGCTCTACTCGACTTCATTTGTTTGTTTCTCTGTTGTTCGAAATTAGTTCAATTCTAGATGATCGGTATAAGTGCATTACACGCAAGTGACACCACATTTTTTTGAAAAAAATTATCACTTAGAAAAATCGAGAAATAATCCACCAGTCGTACATTCTCTACTTAGTCATACTTGTCTCTTCACAATTAACTAGTTCTTCAATGTCGCCATAAAAAAAAAATTTCGACCCTAGACACAGCAATGGTGCTCGATCGTCGAGTTCAGGTTGAAAAACCTGCTCTGGAAAATTGAACGACGCCTTGTATGACAACCTAGTAGTGCAATGATTAGAAGATGTCATGCATAAGTAGAAGTACATCATAGAGTGATTTTCTCAAGGAACGTATAATGTTTAGAGAATCTTGTCGTATGGCCATTTTTTGTGCGGCGACCTCCCATTTCACGGCCACAATTTGAAAACCTTGGAAGAAATGTGGATAAGTGGAACATAGCATTTGTAGAGCAGACCAATCTCTTTTCGAATAGTACACAACACTATGTGAAAGCTGGAGGTGTTAGATGAAAATTTTTGGTCCGATTGAAAAGAAAGCGACGACTGTTTATGAGTACAACTAATAGCTTTCGATGAATTTTCATATATGATGGAGAGGAATGATTTGAACCTTTTATATCAAATAACTCGACACAAAAGATCGAATGTGAATGAAAGTTATAGCCCGAAAATAGAGGAATGTGGAAATTGATAGTGCAAAATCATTTCCTGCTCATAACTTATTTCAGATTGGTTTAAGAAACAAATCCGCTGCACTTGAGAAGAGAGACCTTGCTGATCCAAAATCCACCTCCGCTTGCGAGAAACCTGAAATTTCAAGGAAAGTTCCTATAATTATCGATTTCCCATTTCGACACCTGCTCCCATTCAAACAAAGGGCCCGGGGCGCCCGATTGCAACACCCAGCGCGAGTCGGCACAATTTCGAAACCTTCTCAACACGCCATCTCACCTACCCTATTCGGCATTCTCAATCATGTTCCCCACTTCTCATATTATGACGCCAAACCCACCGTTTTCTCCAGCGGAGAATGCAAAATGACACGTACGTGATTCTCCTATTGAAAACTGCACAGTAGAGATTTATGGGCACCTTGTGGCTGGGTGAGGCACTCTGTAGGAAACGTTTCTGGACTAGCCTGCCGATTTTGTTTCGGTCCTGATGCTCGATGAAGATATAACTTCACTTCGATATAGTCCTGATCTTGTAAGTTTGGAAATGCTCTATTATTTTATACTTTTCAGGGTTGAAAGAACCTCATTATAGAGATCAAAAGAAATAAAAAAATTGGTATGAGTTGTGTCTTCAGAAAATTAGACACAGGGGGGGGGGTTCGTACCGAACGCCCATGAGGGGGGGGGAGTCGTAAAAAAAAATCCAGATGTCAGCAAACGATAGGACCGACTCCGTGGTTGGAAGTTTTGTAAGGCCTCTTCTAATCAGTATATGAAATATGCAGCGAGTTATAAGAAATAACAAATTTTAAGATCAATTTACGAGGAAAATTCAATTCAGACCGAGTTTTACAAATTTCCGAAGCATAACTTTGACTTCTATTTCGTCGAGGTTCGAAAAGTTACTATAGCGTACACTAAACTAGAAGATTTCGCTATCAAAGCGTGCTAAAGCAGACTTATACGTCCACTACTCAAAAATACTGGCCACGCTTCGACGGATTTTTGCAAAAATGTAACGAGCCGAAAATTCGTAGATCAGTGGCGAGTTTTTAGCGCTTTCCAAAAGCCATAAGACTCACATTGCAAACTCATTGCAATCTGGAAAGTTTAACGTCATAGATTTCTAAACTAGAAGATATGCTCTTTCAAAACGGTTACTAGAACTACTAAAATACGTTTAATACTTAAAAAATGGACCACGTGAGAGATTTGACCCGAGTACCGACCTAAAGGTACTTTTCGCACATTAGCACTATCCTACGACTATAGCTCCCTGCCCAGGGCGATTACATACGGATGGAGAGGAGCAGATTAAAATCTTCGTGCTTTTCTCTCTTGCAAAAAGTGTAAAAGTGTTGGAGGGTCTCGACTTTTAAAGTTACATGATTCGTCAGTCTGACGACTGAAGGCTGCGTTTCTTGTTGGAATAGATGTACTCGCTCTATAACTTTAACATTGGACTCTTTCAGAAACTCTTTGATTTCTTCCTGAATATGAGATTCCGTTATCAAGATAAGCCTAGCTGAAGCAGCTGCGCAACAACTGGGCGCCCACTCTGGGATGCGGCAGTGTGCTTCAAAATCTCGATTGGATTGAGGACCTACTTTGAAAGATAAAATAATCCGGAGAAAAGCATGCGAATGTCGGATCTTTGATTTGGTGTGCGAAATGAACAGTAAAGTCACTGAGAAAGTGCTAGCGGACACTCTAATCACGAAGATTTTGTGTGAAGGAATCATTGTTTTGGAGAATACTCGTGGCCTGTCGATCGATCGATCCTTAACACTCCGACAATGTGCAGCCACGGTGGATGACGCGAAGATGTCACTTCGGACCATGTCAGCCACCGGTGGCATGACGAGGCTTTGAGTGAATTTTGAAAACAAGAGGTCTGGCGAGATTCTCTTTGCTGACACTGTGAAGGATCTTCATAACCTCACCTAATCTAGGCCACCCTGGCTGAGGCAAATCATCTAACTCCACTAGAATTTTATTGGAAGAAAAAAACCTGACTTAAAATTTCACCGAAAAAAGCTTGCAAAATTTTTTTTTTCCTTGCTGAAACTTTTCCCATGAGGGTATTCGAGGTTCTGATCTCAAAATATGATGTCCAACTTCTTGGCGCTGGCGCCAAATGGTCCCACATTTGCGCAGTTGGGCGCCATGGATGTGTATTCACAAAATTCAGCTGTAAACATTCAGTTATGTGGGTTATCGAGGCTTGATACGAACATGGACATCCGTTTTAGTCAGTTGCGCTATTTAACACCGGTTACTGCTCGCCTGACACGCGTTCATCACTATTGGATACCAATCAGGCACTAACAAAGGGGCTATCGCTTCAAGATGTGGAAGGCTTTGATCGAAACGGTTTTCTTTATGTTATAGCGGCATGACGATATGGACTAACGGCGAAACCAAGTTATTTTCGCGAAAGCAGGCCTCGCGAAGGCCAAAAAGATAAGGAAATGGTCCAGGGTTCAAATCCATCATAATGACATAGATATTTTTCCATTTAGGTTGGAGCTTCCCAATTTGCTCTAAAAACACCAAGAATAGATATAATGTTCATTAAAACGACCATCAGTAACTAGTGCTTTCAGATTTTCACCATAATGTGGCGGAAAAAAGTTGTTACGCCAGAGAGGCGGCAAATGGCGCCGTAGCCCAAATTGGCGTAGCAAGTGGCGTAAATTTCAGCAATCGGAAAAAAAAACGGAAAAAATGAATGTCATATTCGTGATCAGGGTCTCAAACATCCCCTATATACAAGTTTACATCGAATTTGACGAAATTCAGTCATGGCGCCATCTGGCGCCAAATGGCGCCAATTTGGCGCCAGTTGGCTAAAAATGAGTCCCATATTCGTGATCAGGACCCTTGATAACCCTTCCAAGATCAGTTTCAGCGTGAACTACGGATGGCACACAGAAAAAAAAACTAAAAAAAACACATGGATTTCTCCAGGGACAATGTCAGCCACCGGTGGCTGACATTGCGCAATCGCCTCTGCCGGCGCTGGTCCGAACGGGCAGTCTTCGAAAATCGCGCCCGGTCGCGAGTGGGTTAATGTTTGTCTTCCGACGATGATCCTACTGTATCAATCGGACCCGATCTCTCCCCAGTGGGCCAATACGACCCCCCCCCCTCCGTGACACGTCGAGGCTTCCTCAATGCACGCTTGACCCTGGTCCTCACTTGAAACTATTGCGCGTAAATGTATCAATCGTCACATCCTATAGTTTCTCAGTGAATTTCGACGTTGTTGCCATAACTAATAGTGGACGCGACGCCACGATGCTTCCAATAACTGGCTAGGAAGCGGGTTTCTCTGAAGCTGTATCTCTTCGGAATTTCAATTTTCCGTACGAAGCTTCACCAGTACATCGTCCACCAATGCCGTCGCCCAAGCGTCTGCCGATAGAGAATTAAAAGAATGGGATTGCACAGTGGAAAACCTATTCCAAGAGGTCACATTTCAATTTTCCGCTGCAGGCCGCTGTAACGAACTAGTCGATTACTCGGTCCCCATTTCCATTCCTTGCGTTTGTCGGGACGAAATGCGCGATCCTGGCTCCAACCATATATGGATGTCTTGATGCATTCTTCTCCTTGAACTGATTAGTTATCCTCTAATTGACCTGGTATTCTTCCAGTGTAAGCTCTGTATCCTTTATCAGTGATTGATTCGTTTCTCCTAGTTGAATCTACTACACTGCGTTTCATAATTATAGGTCCACCCTAAATTTTTGCTACCCCAAAGTTGCTGTGCATTTTTTGGAAATGCTGCTACCACCGTTAGATTCCTCATCACGGAAAACCTTCATAGTGTTTTTCTGACAAATTCCCCCCTCAAGTAACCCAATTAACTTTTTTAGAACGAGTTTTCACCCTTTCATGAATATTGGGCCACTCATAAAAAGTTTTCATTTCTCACGATCCGTGAAGGGAATCAGGGAAGCGGGGAAATATGTGGGCTCAGTCGACATCGAGTTTACCAGACCTCGTGTTACTCGCCTCTCTTTCCAGTAACAAGCTCAAGCTAGAGCACTTACTGAAATGGGATAGCTGATGAGCAGAATTTCCTCCCATGTCGGCCGGCTCATACTGCATAAGCGACTATGTGCAAAATCCTGGTCAGTGCGGAGAGAAGAGTTGCTTAGGTAAATAAAGACTGCGTTTTCTTCAAAATTTAGGAGGAATTGGGTGTCTATTCTCGAATTATACAAGGAGTCCGTACTGAAATGCGGCCTTCCATATCATCTTCATCGGATTGATGAAGAGCGTTCCAAGATTATTTGAGCGCTACAAGATCGCAAGTTTCCATTTCTCACGATCCGTGAATAATGAGCGATGGTGTAGCCTGTTAGGACACCTTCGCGAATCTGGGACATCTACCTCCTTGTTTCGTTATACAGGTGGTCGCTGAGATCGAAGTGGAAAAGTTCTAGAGCTCGCTTTTGTTTCCGTTCACAAAGATTCCACAGGGTATCATGGAGTCCTTTCGAAGCGAGTCTTACCATTTTTTCAACAAGGATCCCCTCTATCCTTGATTTTCACACACGATAACGCGGCTGTCCATGCCGGTCCCTCCGCGCCAGATGGAGTTGCAGGAAAAATGTGGCAATTATCTGGTGGCCACCATGTTATCTGAATTAGATTCCAATGGAGAATCATTGGGCCTTAATTGTTATAAGGTTCCACAGCAAAGTAAAGCAAAATGGAACAGCCGAAATGCTGAAAAGGTCGATCATCGGCGCCCAGACGAATTTTGATCCTAGTGTAATAGCTAATTTGGCTACCAGCATTTCAAAACGTATTATTGTGTTCCTTATGATTATTGTGGGGTCATCCCATTATTGAAAATTCGTGAAGTTTTTTTGTTATAATAAAATTTCCCGACAATTGATGTGTAGTCATATTTGCGAAACGGTGAAAATACGTTCTAAGGAAGATATTTTAATAATTCTGAATCGAGATTTCTCCAGAAATCAGGTATCAAGGTTTTTCGTAATGGGGAGACTATTGGTAATAGCGGCATTTTCCAAAAATGCACAGCAACTTTGAAATAGCAAAAAATTAGGGTGGACCTATATTTATGAAACGCAGTGTATACTACCTAAACTACTGCAACTACTATCTTACCCATTTTTTTCAAAATATTTCATAGAGCAAAAGTAGATAATGCGGAAACATGCAAGTTTTCAGGTACACTCTCTTCATTCCAATGTATTATTCCAGAAATATATTACTGTGATATCATCCGAATCTCGTATAGATTTGACAGAAAGGTACGCAAACCCTCTATTCCCAACTTCTTCTCATGCATAGTTCCAATATCAATCCCAATTAAGTAATTCTTTTCAGAACTGTTAATGGATCAATATGGTCAAATCATTCTGTTCTAGTTTTTGATTCGTATGACACTTTTGTGAACTGCTCCGCTCAAGTGGCTGAATCATACCTAACTATTCAAAATAGTACTTCAATATATGCTCAAGGAAATGATGCCAATGTAAGGTTTTTGCTGTAATGAATTAAGCACTTCAACGATCAATACTATGTGGTTCTTGTGCTAGAAATTAATCAGAAAGGTGAAAGGTCGACCTCTAGTACAGAAAAAAGACAAGGAGACCGCCGATACTACAGAAAGTAAGAACCTACATCTCTTGTGTCGCAGACGGATGCGTCAGTCTAAGGAATTCGCTGTGAGGAGAGATACACACCCTAAACATGAGAGTGTATAGAAGGCGAGAGAGTGCAACTTCGTCCTATCGACCTTTGTTTGCCTTATGAGAAGGGCAAGAGTTGGTCAGTGGTGCTCATCACAAGGACTTGTTGATTGACACAGCCACAAATTCATTGAATGAAGTATTCCACCCAGCTTCATGGAGGACTGTGACCTTAATCAGAGCGTTAAGTGATGCCAGTGCATTTTAATTATGAATGAATGATCTTAAGTGTTCACAGGAATTTAAAAGTGCGTGGGGTGTATAATAAATGGAGCCACCTTAAGTTAAGACCCAGCCTTCATTCATTTTACAATCATAAATGTTTGATTGTTTGTTTATTCATTTTTTAATTCAGTTTTCTATGCGAACAAACCGAACGAGGGATGGTTATTCTAGCATAACCCATGATCTTGTCGGAGACACCAACGTCTCTGTCGAAAGTAGTGGTCTTCGAGTACAGGTTTGTGAGCTCTAATAGCTACTGGCAAACAATGATTTTTGAGCTTTGTCTTGAAAACATCTTTATCTTTGAGTGATTAGTAATAGTAATAGTAGTTTTTGTGTATCGTGATTATGGGGAGGCGATTTGAATTAAGGAGGCGGGTTGATAGTCATGGAAGTGGAAGCGCTCGATGAAGTGGTTGAGAAGGAGGTGTTGACGGGTTTCTGACATTATTATTAGGTTGGAAAGAAAGTCCTGCAACACTTTTTCAAATTTTTGATTTTAATTTTATCTTTTTCGGTTACAACTTCTAACCGGTCTTATATCTGCCATGAGTGTCCACCACTTGTCCCCATCGCTCAGAAAATTTCTTGATCCTCCTCCGCCAAAATCCAGCGGAGTGCGAGTCGAGAAAGGATGCGACCTCACCTTCGAGTTGGAGTTGATCGTCTGATTATTTCGTTATAAAGATGATGATTAAAGGTCCAGGATAGGTAGCACTTATTTACAGCTCGACCAGGGGATTACGCTAAGAGAGGAAAGAAATCTTGCCGCAACTCCAGAATTTCTTACCGGGCTCATTTCGGATCATGGTGATTCGCAATTTCATGAAAGAAATGAATATTGTCGCGGTACGAGGGCTCTTGACGAGCTACCTCGGCCATCTTCTGGTACTCCACAACCTAGGCCACTGCCTACACAATGGAGCCCATAACGAAGGGTATGTAGTGGAGCTTCTGTAAGAGTCCTACCTGTAATGGAGTGTGAGGGATGCTGCTGGTTCTTATAAAAATATCAAAAGATCGGAAGCACTGGTAAAGGTGAAACACGCTGTATCGCTGAACGGCATGCCATTGAAGCTATTGCAGATAGTGTCAGTCGTTGACACGAATTCATGGTTTTGTAGACATTTGTACTAGACAGTGACTCGGAGTACGGATTTGCTAGTGGTCGAGATTTTTTGAATTTTCTTGGATACCTACTCACTGCAGAACTTATATCCACCTCGTGATTGAACTTAGAGAATGCCTCTAATCATTTGTAGTCATAAATTAACAATGAATTTTTCAGAAAAAAAAAAGAAAATTTTGGAAAGAGTGTTGCAGAACTTTTTTTTCCAACCTTAATATTTATTACATGAGGTATCCGCTGTGTAGGCACAAAACAAAACAAAAGAAGTAACCTGCGACAATAAAAAAAAACAATCGGTGAAGTGACAACATGGGAACTGGGGAAAAAACTGAATAAAAAATACTAAACGTGAATAATATAGAGATGAGGTAAGAAAACAGGAAGTCTCATGGTTCTGGGTGATCATCGAGAAACCTTTCAAAAGCGCCTGTGGTGAGCGGAATGCTCTTCTTTCGGCTTAACATTGAGTAGATTGGGTAAACACGATTTATAAAAAACTCTGACCTGCAAGTAAGTCGACTTCAAGGAAGTAGAAGTTTCCATGCATCACCTCTAGTGGTGGAAGCCCTCTCATTAAAAAATGAGGTGAACTGAGACAGGTGTGTCCGACAAAAACTTTATAGAACATTAATAAGTCAAATTTTTTCCTACGCCAACTAAGCGGGCGGAGTCCTATGTTGGCATTCCTAGTCGCAGCAGAAGGAATGTTGTTATATTGAAATCCGATTGCCCTGATCATAAGTCTTCTAGTGAAGCTGTTCTGAACTTTCTCGGTGAGATCAATAATTTTGCGCTTGTGAGGATTGAAGATGACAATCCCATACTCAACCAAAGTCCTTACATCAGACTTATAAGCCCGGAGGAGCACAGAGGGGTTGTTCGTTGTCAAAGCTCTGAATATCCTGTACGTGGCATTGAGCGCCTTCCTAGAAATTTCCTCGCAGTGACTGTCAAATCACAGTTCGGGAGCTAACAAAAAGCTTAGGTCAACAATTTTATCGACTGCTGAACGACAGCCCCATCGATATGACAAGTTTCACGAAATCTTGTAAAAAAAAGAGCGAATTTATAGCAAAAACCATTTCGTTAATCGTGTACTCGTGTATAATCGTGATTTTGCTATACAGGCGAGCCCTTCGTAAGATTCGCCTACATAGCAAAATCCCCTGTGCTATACAATCCTATTTTAAGGGTATACATGGTGATCGATCAGGTGTGGAGGTCGATACGTCGTGGTCGAATCGAGCAACTTCCATTAAGCTTGCCGCTAACACGCTTTTGAATGGTGCACGGCAATTAGTTCTCCTGGGTATCTTACAATTTTGCAAATTAGTCTCTTTCATCGTTACTGCAACCTACGATTTTGAAGTTATACTATTGCAGCTACATCGCCCCTTTATTATATTCGTGTTTGTTTCATCGGTGCGACAATCTATGTGGAGTTTGGCGATAAAATTGTCGAGATCGACCACAACTACAGAACGGTCAATGTGCATACTGACAAGTACACAGTTATAGCGAAAATTAATGATAGTTTTTACGATGTAAGTTTCCACACTTGAGAGTAAAGCCTTTTCTGGCAGTTTTTAAGCATTTATTTTGTCGGAATTTCGCTAACCTCACAAGGCAAAGTACATATATGTTCCTAACTACCGATATTCTTACATTCTTCGCAGAAATTGGTTCTTTCGATGGACCGATTTGACCTCCCGGAAGGTCATGAATCGTGATTTCGCACTGCTCTTGGATAAATATTATAGATGACAAACATTTTGGGCAAAGTCCGTAGGACTGATAGGAATGAAAAAGGAGAGAGCCTCCTTTTTCATTCCTATCAGTGTTCTTGTTGAAACATATCGAATTAGGAGAAGTCAGGCGCTCGCGCAATAGCTGTGAAAACCAGTGCTGGCGATTATTAGGAGGACGTTTCCTATTCCCTGCCCAATCACAGAAACTTCTTGTTTATTCCTTTTTCCTTTTGAGAAATAGCGAGGATTCCCCAAAAGGTCGATACTTCGCCGCACCGCGTATATACGGGAAAGAAAGCTCAAAAAGTTCTCCAGCTTCCTATTTTTTCGATTAGATGTCTTATTTCTGAATCACTTCCAAAACATTATTGTAAACTAACTCCTTGTTTGAAAGCACGTTTTCGCTCTATTCGAATGTTATCATTTCTGTTTCCTACCAGGAAGGTCATTCAGGTGGTGCCAATTTTTTGGAACGGTCTTTTGCATGATATAGGGGCACAAGTGGAAACCAAGGCGGGGCTGGTTTTGGTGTCACAACTTTTTCAGCAGTTTTCTAATCAAATTTATTTGTGAGTTCTAATAAAAAGAGACATTTTATGTCTACATTCAGATGGATTTAATCACACTCTGCTCAATTCAAACCAAATGGTTCCTTCTTATTATTGGAGAGCGCATTTCATTTTATAAGAAAATCATCATAGTGGCCACCTTTGCGGACGGCATCAGAAAATTTTGTCTCGGAAACACGGTGCACTGGTCGAGCCCAACGGGGTCTTCAAAGCATTGTGTACCGCAACGCCCTTTACTGGAAAGCAAGTTTCGAGGGGCTTGCATAATGGAAGCTAATTTCTCTAAAAAACTATCTAACATTGAATCGACTCACGAAACTATGTAAGAGCTTCAGGCTGAAGCAGTTACGGTAGGCCTTCTTGAGCTTGACGACGATAACAGTTGACGTCATACCGTGAAGACGGCGAAGGCAGTGGAGCAGGGCCTGCGCCTGCTTAAAGAGGGACAATTTGGGAATTTTGCTGAGGAACCCCCGTCAACGACTGCAATCTCTGCAAAAAAGTGCCCAACTGCAGCTTCCGCAAAATGTTTTTTTGGTCCTTCTGTACATTCAATCGGTCGAATATGACTGCCTCACAAAAGAAACTCATTCACAAGCTGGAAGCTCTCCTATTTCGTTCATTTGCCACAAAATGGGTTTCGGCTTATTCTAATGGCAGAACGTTCCAGGTTGAAATTGATGCTTTCCCATTAGATGGGTAGCGTGGTCTGCCACAGGGTGGAAGAAACCATTGATCTGATTGTGAATTGGTCGAAAGAGTGGCACTTGTCTATGTATGGCCCACCAAAAATGGTGTACATGAGGTTAATGCCTGGACCTCCACCACTAGTACACTGACATACGGTCCATTGGGTCTCACATTGCGCATTCAATCTGGCATAGACATCGGTTTTTACTACAATAACAGGCTAGGTTTTTCGGAACAAAAGAAATACTTCATTCATTTGTGAAAGTGCAGACAATTTTACTCGTAAATTCTTTATTCGGATCGAAGGCTTTTTGTACTCCCGAATCCCAAAAGCAACAATTAGGGATAGATCTCCGCCCCATTCATAACATGACACAGGCCTTGAGTGTGCTTCCTCCAATATTTTCAGAATCTCGTGCTCTAGAATGAGAGGAGGGCGTAAGATTTTGCTTGCACGGACCCTAACTATACCTGCGCGCAAGGAACTTTACGTTCAGAGCGAGAAGACGTTATTGCAGCTAGCTAGACATACCATCTAGTTTATCGTTAGTCCAGTTAAATCATCGAACTGAACAAAAATGTGCTGAGAGATGAAGCAGTCTTGCGTCTTATGAGACTGATTATCAAGAGTTTGAATTGAAGGCTAAATGATTCCATTGATTTTATCTTATGGTGTTTCGCGTTCAATTGATTACATTTTGTTGTTGTGTTATTCGATTTTAATTGCTTATTTAGTGATTCATTGTTTCTAACGTGTGCTTTAGCAGGTGTAATAAGAGCTAAACCTAAACCAAACGTAAGAGCAGGGTGTCCTGTCGAGAAATTTACTGCGTCTTTGCCCCCCCCCCCTTCGCTCTCACTCTCCTCTACTATCCGATTATACGGCGAGTAAATGCTAGTTTTAGATGGGCGGAATGGCAGAAGCGCTACGGTCACGCGAATACTCCATGCCTCAAATCCAAAGCCTAAGCGTCCCCCTCTGCGCTTTACTAATTGAGCAGTCTCGTTGAGCTAGAAGAACTTTAACAAACCGTCAACTTGCACTCTACCCATTATCCCTTGTTGTAATCACCGATGTAACTCTGTGAAATAGGACTCTTCAAAATATTTAGAAACCTTTCGTTTAGGATGCTGAGTGCTGGACTCTCAGCATCAAAGAAGTCATTGGGAGCATTGCCTAGCACAGCAAGTTTACCAATTTGCGCTCTGGTCCAACGAACTTACTGTTCGCGGCCACGTCACGTACTGTGCTTTCAAAGCGTCCTTGTAGAAAAAATTGCTCGTGTATCCCCTATTTGATGGACTCTGATTTGCTTCCGTGATAGTGATTCCTAACAAAGGAGGCAAATTCGGGGAGAGCAAAGCTTCCGGATTCGGTGAACTGAGTCTTTCCCCAAGCAATGCTTGCCTCTTGAGCGATCTGTCAAGGAAGTTGAATTGTACATATATTCTCACTTTTCCAATGACAATAACTTTCTTGAATAATGAGCGACTGCTTGCTTCTTATAGTTGTTTCGGTTGGTTACATATATGCTTCCTAGTTTGCAAGGAATCTGCGTTAAGAAAGGTCCACTCGAAAACACTACTACTTCCCCTCTGCGGAATTCACATCAAACCCTTCAATTGCTCCTAGGATACATGTACAAAATGATACTCTGGGCTTGGATCCGTTTCGTTTTGGTATGGTTACCCTACTCCGATTCACTTGAAGGATATACGACAACTTGGTTGTGCAAATCAAAAATTCCTGGTCTCAATTCCTGAAATAAATCCTATGACCATAGTATGGACATCCATAGTCCCTCGCTCATGCGATCATGTTCTAATAAATGGCGAATTCCTGGCTGCAGTATGAATTGCGTCGAAAAGACGCATTTTGAGCTGCCTCATTTTGGAATCTCTTTAACATCCTGCTCCTTCACGAGATTCAAGAAGGTGTACGTGATTTTTCAGCTGCATTTGGGATAGAAACCTCGGTTCAGCTCGGCATAGTGCAGTCCGTCAGGCACCTGACAAGTGTTCAAAACGATAAGGCCGTGTCGAATTATGGACAAACGAATAAGAATGGGTATCAGAGCTGTATTTAGAGCAAATATTCACTGCCTATACCCATCTGCTTCTTTTTGCTGAAGCATTGCTTCCCCTCCGGCTTTCCTCAGTCATTGTACTGATCATCACGAGCCCAGCAACCAAGCACTTCCCACATTTCGTTTCAGACAGTTCCAAGATATCTTGCTCCACCCTAATTGAAAAATTAGTGCTGACAGTGAGTAATGGCGGTAGCACCGTTGGGACCAATGTTCACGTTCACTTACGCCCCCCCCCCCTTCACCCCCCATCTAAGCAAATACGACCTTTCTCAAGCATTATTCATCTACTCATTGGTAAGTAGGACGTCTGAAGCCGGCCAAGTACAGTGTGAGATAGATTACCTTTGCCTACAACCCCACATCTTTACGAAAAGATCGTGGCGAGCTGCGAAGGTCACTAAGCAAAGCTGTTATGAACATTCACCAAAGGCCACACTTTTAGAAGTTTTTATTATTCTCTAAGTTTATTTAATCATATATTTAGCCACAATTATTGAAATTTTTGTAGATTGCTCCACAAATAAATGAATAAAATGTAAAACAGAAACTCGTAATTGACATACGAGAAGCAGTCATAATTGATACTCCAACTGTTTACACCTCAGCGAGACTACTGAAAGATTATTAGATTTGGTCGCCTCTGGCTTGGGGTATACATTGTCGCCCTCGCCACGCATAGATTGTAGGTGAATTTGGCCCATTCCTTATTGAGCGACTACTTTAGAACTTGTAAAAATGCAAGCAATCACTATAAACACTGAGTTGACATCAAGAAAATCCTCGTCCCGCCCCCATGTAGAATTGAGAGAGATTGTCATTGCACACTGGCTCTGAACATACACCCATTTGCAAGCGTAGCATCAATCGCTAAGAGTCTGGAGCAGTGTTTTAAAATGATCATTTCGAGAGATTGTAAAGATTTCACCCCCTCTCGATTGGGAGAGAAAGTTTCAAGAGTGACCTGTATGACTTCATTAGTGTCAATAATCCTGGATGCAGCCAAAGATAGTAGCTCTCTTCTACGTTGAGCTGCTCTTTGTCCACTGAAAGTGGACGTGCCGCGTACGGCGACGAAGAGTACCGGAAATCTGCGCGGCTGGCTGTAGCTCGTGCTAACGACAACCATACCCATTGATCTTCCACCTGTTCCGTACTGCGATGCAATTTGAATAGTTGTATATTATAATTCTCTGTGCAAATAATCACCTCCATACGATGTTCATTTTTCTCCCCGTAGATCGTGAGCACTTCCTGTGCTACGAGATCAAGCTTTCGTTTCCGCAATTTTCATGGAGACGAGTCTAACTTCCTCAATTATAGGTTGCCATTTCGAAGGAGGAAATAGTGGTTAGGTGTCCATTTGAAAGCATGATGTTACGAGTGGTACCGTCAGGCGTTAATGTAAATATAGAACAGCTAGCGAGGTATGAGCTTTTAATGTATCCATAAGCTTACAGATTAAAAACCGCTTCTAATTTACTATTTTCTACTTAATTATTTCCATTCTTTATGTTTCCGTTTACTATTTTTGCATACATTTGTGTAACATTTACTGAGTATAGCTTGTGTATTCGTAGGGTAATCTTATGTTCCAGCATACAAATAGACCGTGGTGGAGGTGAGTTCTCACTCGGGGGAAGTGTTGTGGCGGCAGAAAATATTAAGGTATCACATTGCACAATATTTGATTTATGTTAAAGTCACTGTAGCGCTTTACTATTTTATATGTACATGCATTAGTAGATAGTTTACTCATTATCACATAGGAATGTTCTGTACCTTCCAACTGCCTTGTTCTTAGAGCTCATAGCTCACTTCCCACAAAACTTCAAATTCTATGCATTGCTTTTAGAGCTGAATAGTAATTACTTACCCATGAGCAAGTACAGATAGAAGCTATTTTCTTTCACCATAACCAATTCCAGGTGACGGCACTGAAAACAGACCTGAATCTTTCAAACGCTGGCCTAGTGACAGGATCCACTGTAAATTCACACATAGTCATGCAGACTGCAATACAAAATGTAAGTAGTTTCAAAGTAACTCAGAACTTTTGTGGCTTGACGTCATCCTTTCGTATCACCAGTTGGGCCGCACGCATTGCGCGCGCAACACAGATCTTTTCGTAAAGATGTGGGGTTGTAGGCAAAGGTGATCTGTCTCACACTGTACTTGGCCGGCTTCAGACGTCCTACTTACCAAT